TTCTTCCCCACACAGAAGCCAAGTACAAGAAATTGGAGAAGCGATGAAAAATGTGTTCCTGTGGGATAAAGTGTTTTTTAATATGGGAGAATGTTTTATAACAACTGAATCCTGAGGCTGATGAATTGTCACAGCTCTTCAAAAGAACATGATGCTGGTTATCTCAAGGCTAGGCCAGTGCTGGATAAACTGGAGGGCTGTGCTGCTCCTGAACCTTCTTTGAGGCAGTATCTCTCAGAAACTCACACTTGTAACTCCTCACCTTTTACTTGAATGCTTCCTCATAGATTCAAGACAGACTGTCAAAGTTCAGGGTATTCCTGGACTTGTGAGTAGAAGCAGATGGGAGGACCTGTTTTCTCTGGTAGTGGTCAGTTGGTCTTTTATTTTCTTAAATGGCTGTTTTTTTTGTTTTGTTTTGTTTTTTTCTATTAATGATGTTAATGTATTGTTAACAAGATTCTAAATTAAAAAGGGGAAAAATGTGTTCTTTGCAACTTCTTTCTGTGTTTCTGTAATTTTTTTTCCATGTAACATTACAAATAACAGAAAATCCTAAAAACAATCCCAGGCGAAGTCTTAAAGACTGAGCATAAGTAGTGAACAGAATGTTTTGATAACTTAGTGTATGAGATGCTCCCTTTCTCCCCACTAATTAAGGACTGAACCTAGACTTTACATATTCTAGACAAGTGCTGCTCTACCATCAGGCTATCTCCTCAGCCTGGCCACTATTTAAGACAGGGTCTTTCTAAGTTAAACCTTGAATTTGTGACCCTCCTGCCTCAGCTGCCCCAGTAGCTGAGATCAAAGATCTTATATCAAAAATTAGGCTTCTGTTTTTTGAGTCAGATGTCTGGGGTGGGATGACACCTTGACAACTGTTGTTAGATGTCTGGGGTAGGATGACACCTTGACACCTGTTCCCTTTTGGAAACATGATAAAGACAAGATCCATATGTGTGCCTATGTGTTAGGTGGGGGAGGTAGGGAGTGACATTCATACAATAAAGGGGAACTTTGAAGAACTCAATTGTCTAAAACATCAGAAGGGTTACTAAACAACCAGTCTGATTTGGAAGAAAAGCAACTTTATCCAGAGTAGCAGCTAGCAATGTGCCTAAGGTTTTCAATTCCATTTCCAGAGGAGGTTATTTCTGTTTCTGTCTTTCTGGATTGTGTCTTATTTTTCTTGAGACAGAGTCTCATTGTGTAGCCCTGACTGGCCTGTCACTCACTGTGTAGACCAGGCTGGCCTTGAATTCACAGAGATCTGCCTGCCTCTGCTAGGATTAAAGGCATACACCACCACACCTGGTAATTGTGTCTGTTCTTGACCTTCATTAGTTCTACTCTGATCTATTATGGGCCCTTTTTAAAATTTTTTTATTTACTTTTTAGAAGAAGCATTTCATTACAGCTTTAACATACTCAATAACAATTTCTAGCACAAAGATACAACTCTTTCAAAAGTGGCTATAAAAGTTTCAGGTTTACAGTTGAATTAATACAGTTATATAATATTGAACTCAGTATAAATCCTATAAGACATAAAATTGAATGAGTTTTTAACCTTTAAAAAAGATCTCCGTCTCATTTTAAAATATAGTTTCTTACAGAAAGACTCATTGTTTTTGCTAATAACACTTAGATGTTGGTGCATGCATCTCTAATCTGTATGTATCTGATTATTACTAGTCATGGTCTGTTGTACTCAGATCCTTGGCACCTGTGTATGGATATAAAGTCATCGGGTAGATTTCAGTGGTAATGTTTATTACCTCTACTAATTAACATGATCCAAACTTTAACTTTCTGACCCACCCTTTACAACTGCTGCCACAACCATTCTAAAATGTAAACATTACTCCTTCTTAAAATCCTTTAGTAACCATTCTGAAAAACTCAAAGTCTTATTATGTATACAAGATCCATATGTTTTTTAATGTTTCTTGTTATTCCTATATTTACATTGTGTTTAGCTATCCTTGGCTACCTTAAATTCCAAAAGATGAGTTCTCTTTTCATGATTTTTAATTTTAGAATAGATTTGGATCTACAGGAAAATTGTGAAGATAATATAGAATTCTGTGGGAAATTATTTTCCTTTTGTTTTATCATCTTGGGATTATTACCTGTTCATGTTGGTAAATTTATGCTTTCTTCAAGATTCAGTATTGAGACCCACTTTTGGAGAGTGCTGTATTATCCAGAAATCAGGAAAGGGGGTGGGGAAGGCTTAAATTGTCAGTAAAGCAGGGGTATCAACATGTATGAGGCAAG